AGATTACTTATTTAAATATCATCAGAAAAGATAACAATAATAAGCAAGGCATTAGTTTATTTGTTAACAACAGGACATAATAAATCGTAACAAGTTTATTATCCATTCGCAAGACATTTCGTATACCGTATATTGATACAAATGTATATTCAAACAGGCATATCTACGATAGCTGTTTAAATAAAATTTAATAATTAAGACAGTTAACATTATTTTTATAACATAGCGTTGTGCACTTCTGCTTGGTTTTTCTACAACTACATCGGTCATTAGTACATGCACTTTTACAATTACTTGATCCCGTTCTAACTAAGCTTTGGCCTCTTGCTACCTCTCTTACACTTATTATTGTTGAGGTATTTCGTCTAACACATGAAACTCGGCTAATTCGACTAAATTTAATTCATTGGCCATTCAGAATTCTCCAGCAAATCCCAATCGATATTTTCCATTTGCTTTTGAGTTACTGAATACGTTAGCAATGGTTCTTTATTGGTGCGAGGATGCAAACAAGTAAACATGGTTCGACATATCATTGTGAAAAATATGCTTTGAGTGACTAAATACGTTAGTGATGGTTCTTCCATTGGTATACGAAGATGCAAACTTGAATAGAATACGATTGTGAAAATATGCTTTTAATTACTAAATACGTTAGCGATTATTCTTCTACTGATGCGATGATAGAAATACGATTGTATTAAAATAATGCAATCAAGCATACATGACTTTGACATATGATTATAAAAAAAAATGCTTCAAATAAGTAAGCGGAAGTTTTCAAGGGACATATCGATTGAAGAAAATGTGCTTTGATTTACTAAATACGTTAGCAGACGCAAATTCGTCTTTTTGTGGTATTTAGGCTTGGTTTAAGCGTAAGTGCTGTTCATTCCATTTTTGCGTCCGAAGCACCAATGGTGCGACAGGAAGTTACCAGCCCAACTGATTTAGTTCTAAGTACGGATAGATCGTGTGAATTAACAGATCTGCCAAAAAATTTGTTTGTAGTATGGCCATACTGTACATCGAAATTAGTATAGTCTAATCATACTATAAATCTTTTTTTCGACGACTTTGGCTTAGATTATATAGAATTGCAGTAGTTGTGACAGCGATACATACAATGTTCATTGATTGTTACAGCCAACTCAAAGTACAAGAGTCCAGGCTGTCTCAAAACCTACAGATTTAAGGTTAAAGAAGACTTTATTATTATGTCCTATTGAAAATACAGAAAGTATGTTTTGATAGTAAGAGCAAAAAAACTTGAGATTTACATAACGAATGCAGTTTTGGGGTCCCTGTACGGGATTTATATATATAAATACGGTTTTGGAAACCTTGGCGGTTTTGGGGACATTGAACAGGATTTAATGCTGGCGGGATTTACATACGTTATTTTGTGCCATAAATGTCGATCAAATTAATAAAACATTCTTTTTGCATAAATCCAAACCAGGTTAATCGATTCGTATTCACTATTATTATGATAATATACTGTACTTACGAAAAAGTACGGCAAAAAAGCTTGTAACTTACTATTTAACTTTATATTAATGTCTTCTGAACCGAATGAGGATTAAACGATATTAATTGATGATATACATTAAAGTAACAAATTTGATATATTCTTAGTTCTGGAATTATATGTATGCGTAGAATTTTCGGGAAAAAGTGGAATTACAGCTCGCAGTTTATAAATAGACTATCTGGACGATTTCAACTTCCCTCACTCAATGAGAGTAAATTTTCAAAGTTCTATTACACTTGTCAACCTTGAATATTTTTAATACTATCAACAACTTTCAAAATGTCGTCCCAACAAATTTGCGTCGCTCGCACTACATTCGATGCCATCATCGATCAATACATTCAAAAACATCACGAGACAAAAAGACCTAAACTATTCGTTACCCAAGACATGTATGATGAGGCAATCCAAATACTCCGTAATCCCGAAAATCTACAAATATCAAACAAAAAGACTAGACATTGGGTAAATCATAACGAAACAATCTTATTATTAGATGTTATACCTGAGAAGACAATAGCACTCCGAGAAGCTGCGCTCTCACAGAGCATAACACAGTTTTCTGGAGTTAGGTGTAATTGTAAATCAACTTGTTTAAGTAGAATATGCGCTTGTTCGAAAGCACGAGTTCGATGTCATTCTAATTGTCATCCACATAGTAACAAATGTGCCAACAGACACTAATGAACATATAATAAATCCCATTAATTATTTGCATAGTAACTTTACACACTATTACAAATATTTAATATCAGTAAAACATGCGAAAAGAATGTTTTATTAATTTGATCGATATTCAGTTCGGAAGACATTAATATAAAGTTAAATAGTAAGTTTCAAACACTTTTTGCCCGTACTTTTCGTAAGTACAGTATATAGTAAATAGAATCGATTATTAATTTGATCGACATTTATGGCAAATCTCGTTTCACAGAATAAAACTTTCAAGTCTGCATGCATACCCCCAAGATAACGACTAATAATATTACAAAGAAAAAACTTTACTTTCTCTTTGAAAAAAACTCATTGCAATGTTAGTCTATAGCAAGAAAATGTCTTTACTCCTAAGTAGGGACGAATACGCCCCGCGAAGATCGCATCTCGTTAGTTCGAAACGTATAAACAAATTTCGTGTCAATATATTCAGTCACTTTACATGTCTAATAAACATTATTTTATATACAGTACAGCTATCGTAGATATGCCCGTTTGAATATACATTGTATCAATATACGGTATACAGTTTATTCTGAAATGTCTTGCGAAATGGATAATAAACTTGTTACGATTTATTATGTCCCGTCGTTAACAATAAACTAATGCTTTGCTTATTTTGTTATCTTTTCTGACGATATTTAATAAGTAATCTATTCCAACA